TTCCACCCTCACAAGAGTGCCACGTATCCTATTTACATTACTAATAAGCTGTGCAGTCCACTTGATGGACCACAGTTTACATTTGCATAGTTCCACTCAGTAGTTGGGTGGGCGTCACAAACACAGTGGCTAGGAGACCCATACCAAGTAATTCACTGTACCACATTGAGGTAAAATTTTATGTATCATACATTCACCCAGTTTATAGTTCAGAGAATTTTGATAAAAAGTATATAGCCATGTAGCCATCACTACAACCAAAGTATAGAATATTTTCATCATCTCTGTAAAGTTTTCTCACTGCTTTCTATGCAGTCACTTCCCATACCCTAGCTGCTGGCAATCACTGATCTACGTTCTGTCATTATAGTTTTACTCTTTCTAGAATCTTTCTAGTAGATTGTTAGCAAATCATATAATATATAGATTTTTGTGTCTTTTTTTCCTCCCACTTAATATAATGTTTTTGAGATATGTTGCATGTATAGGAACTGTCCATTCTTTCTTATTGCTGTGTAGTATTTCATTGTCTGTATATACTACAGTTTGTATCCATTCACCAATCCATGGATATTTGAGCTGTTTCTAGTTTTTTACTATTATAAATAAAGCTTCTATGAACATTTGTGTACAGATCTTTGTGGGGACATCTTTTTAAAATTTCTCTGGGGTAAATAATTAGGAATTGTATGCCAGGTTGCATGGCAAGTATATATTTAATTTTATAAGCAACAGGTGAACTGTTTTCCTAAGTGGTTGTACCATTTTGCATTCTCACTAGCAATACGTGAGTATTTCAGTTGCTTCACATCCTCACCAACGATTGGTGTTGTCAGTCTTTGATTTTAGCCCTTCTAATGGTCATGTAGGAACTCTGGTGGTGCAATGGTTAAAGCATTCAGCTGCTAACAAAAAGGTCGAAGTCCACCAGCTTCTCTCCCTGGGAGAAAAGACCTGGAGACCTGCCCCCGTAAAGATTTACAGCCTAGGAAGCCCTATAGGGCAGTTTTACTCTGTCATATAACGTTACTATGAGTTGGAGTCAACTCCCTGGCACATAAAAATGGTAGTGGATGTGTAATAGTACCTCATGGTGGTTTCAGTTTACGTTCCCTAATGACTAAGCTCTTGGCTGCTAACTAAAAGATCATTGGTGTGGAATCCACCCAGAGGTGCCCCAGAAGCAAGGCCTGGTGATCTGCTTCTGAAATGTCACAGTCGTGAAAACCCAGTGGAGCACAGTTCTGCTCCAAAGCAAATGGGTCGCCATGAGTCAGGATGACTGGATGGCAAATGCTTTTCTTTGGTGTTTAATGACTAATGATGTTGAGCATCATTTTGTATGCTTATTTGCCGTCTTTTTTAGTGAGGTGTTCAAATAGTTCTCCCACTTTTTATTAGGTTGTCTTGTTAATATTGAGTTGTAAGAATTATTTATATAAAGACTTATTTTTAATTTCTTGACTGAAACAGCCTATGTTCAGAGTTTATTTTTTACTTATAACAAAGCATAATGAAAGGTTCTGAAGTACTAGCTTAGTAATTAGGTGGAATATAAATGCTTTTTATATGTATAAGTAACCAGAGAACAGATCCGAAGTATTTTCCGTGTGCTACTCCCTTTGCCCAAGAGGAATGAATTCACTTCTCTAAGGAGCTCTGGTAGCATAGTGGCTAAAGCACTTGACTGCTAAACAGAAGGCTGGCGGTTCAAACCCACCAGCCACTCCTCGGAAGGAAGGTTGGGCAATCCTACTTCCATAGTGATACTGCCTCGGAAACCCAAGGAGGGGTCACTATGAGTCAGGGCCGACTCGACTGGCACATAACAACAACAAACCCATTCTAATGAGTGCAGTTTTTAAATTTGTTGTTGTTTTTAACTTTGAAGCCATTGTTGTTTGTTAGGGTTCAACTGCTGTGAAAACCCATTTTATGGCTGTGTTTCAGCTGTTTAAACATTTCTGTTTGTTCCTAACAGTATGTCTCGTATTCCCTATACACTCTGTGGGGACTGACCAACTGCCAAAAAAAAAAAAAAAAAACTTTTAGAGACACTGAAGCCCCATTAAAAAGCCCAGTGAAATAAGTATTGGCTCATGGATACATGAGCTTCAAGTATCACTTTAATTGTAAAAGGAGGAAGTGTGGCTTATTTCACGTTGTTATTGGTTCAAGCTCAATGACATTCTCATGTATACATGTATCCTCTTCTGGCCAAATAAAACACTTGATTAAAATTAGAAATTATGCCATTCATTGTTGGATTATTGTGATGTGCTTAGTGTCATCTTCTTTGATAAACTATAGGAGATCACATTTCAATTTTAACTCCTTTTTTTAATTAAAATACTGATACTTTCTGTGGCTATCTCCTGTAAGGAATTTATACACACACACACACGTGCATGCACACACTCATGCACACAGACATTCTCATGCACACCAACTGCTGTGGATTGAGTGTGTTGTTTTGCATTACTTGATCACCAATTTAAACTGCAGCCTAGCCTAGGTTTCCCGTTTATTTCAGAAATGGGAAATGCATTCCAAAGGCAATGAGAAAATTACAGTTCATAACCATTTTTAAAGGAGATATGATGTCTCATGAAATTGTAAGCTGCTGATTCTGTAACGTTTGGGTCTCAATAAGAGTGGCCTGTGGTTTCTGAGGGAGGCAGGTTTTTTTTTTTTTTTTTTTTTCTTTTAATGTATATTGGCAGAGTGGAGAAATGATAGTTGAGGGAGGCAGTTTTCTCTTTCATTCAAACCATTTTGCATTTCTGGAGCAGACTATTATTAAACTTGTTCAGGGCTGAAATTATAGGAGCAACAATGTAATGCTGCAAGTGAGTGTGATGTATGTTAAATTGTTTGATCTGTCAAAAAAGAGTCCCTCTTTTGGTCCTCTTTGAGAAGTATTTATAAGATGTAGGAAGAAGCAAAGGAGCCCTGGTGGCACAGTGGTTAAGCACTGTGTGTGAGAAAGATGGGACAGTTTGCTTCCATAAAGATTACAGCCTTGTAAAGCCTATGGGGCAGTTCTACACTGTCCTATAGGGTTGCTACAAGTCGGATTCTAAAGGCAGTGAGGTTTTTTTATTTTTATTTTTTAGGAAGAAGAGAGATTATGCAATTTTGAGGGAAGAAATTTGGATTTGCTTAATTTTTAAAAATCCGCTTTGGTGCTTTGGGATTCAGATTCTTAGACTGTGTTGTTATTTCATTCCTTTCCCCGGAGAGATAATATTTAACTCACAGGGCATTCTGTCTTTAAGAGCTAGAATCACTTGATTGTATTAATAGTAAACACAGTGAGTCTATCTGCTGCTCTGCTGTTCCTTCCTTTATTTACCTTCTACATTCAACAGGCCATTCATTTCTTCCAATGAAACATTCAGGTGGAGGCCTTTTAAAGTCCAGGTGCAGGGGGTATATAATCATGATGTGATTGTGGCATGTGTGTGATGGGGGTTAAATTGTGCTGTTTTCTTGTCTGTGCTGTCATTTCTTTGGCAGCAAACAGGCAACTTAAGAAATATTTCTTTAGAAGAAATATGGTATTACACTCCAAAAGAAAAAAAAAAAAAAACACTTTTGTGGAAGAATTGGATTATTTGTCTCTTTATTTTTGAGTTGCACTTCTTTATACATCCTAGATAGAAGTCCCTTACCCACTACATGATTTGCAAATATTTCCTCCCATTCTGTCGGCTCCTTTTTCATTTTCTTAGTATTGACCTCTGAAGCACAAAAGTTTTTTATTTTGATGTTGTCCAATTTATCTCCTTTTTTATTTTGTTGCTTGTGTTTTTGGTGAAGAAAACCACTTTGTAGGAAAATTTTTAAACACCTAAAATTTAGTTTCTTTTTTGAAATTTGGCTCTTCAAAGCTCCTTGTAATGGTTTCAGAAATTTAAAACCTTAGGTGAAATGAGTAGAATTCTTTCTCTAAGAAACCCAAGTAACAGAGTGAAAACATCCTGTAGATTGCATTGGATTTATGGCATGTATTTAATGTTTGCTGTTTCTCTACAATGATTGATGGACCTACTGGCTGAGCCTAGAAATAGGATCAGAAAAGCACTGCTCTTGGTAATTGTGAGAGTGTATTCGTACACTTGATTAGAATGATAGAACCTAATAAAATGAAAGACTGTAACTAAATGCAGCAAGGATAATTGGGACCTGGCCTACATGTAAAAATAGTGGTAGCCGAGACCTCTGAAGTCTCCCTAGTTCTGGGGAAGCATCTTACTGGGGATGTTGGGTCTGAATATGCTCTACTGACTTAATAAAACCACACTCTGTTCTCTTTTCAAAAGCTGAAAATTTGTTTTGCCTTTGTGTCTTGCCATTCCTCTGAAGACGAGGAGACACACCATAATACCTGACTTTTCACCTTGCATCCTGTGAGGTAGGCAGAATTTATTAATACAATAAATTCTTCTTTAAACTTTGAACCTTAATTCAAACACCAAAGAAAAGGTGATCTGCAGTGCTGTATTTCCATATGTCTTGCTGCTGCCTTGGAGATGGGATCATGCTGTTGTCATCTACCTTTATGACGAGGCGGTGGGTAGATTTAGGCAATGTGGCAGGTACAGTTTTGTCGTTTGGGTGTATCTTTATATGAAACGCTTTGGTGTTAATATCATTGTTGCTGAACATTTCTCTCACTTACGGTAATGAGTAGGATCCCAAAATTCCAAATATTCTAAATTCCTAATATCTGGGAGAGAACTTGATGAGTGCTATGTTAAAAAGGAGCTACCACAGGAAGACAGGCTAAACTTCCTGGTAATTGGACCAGGAATTGCTGATGTGAAATCTTTTTTTTGATTAAAACTTTTATTGGACTCATAGATTTAGGTCCTTTAAATTTATATTTTTACGAATAAATTTAATAAGAGTGAAGGCATAGTTGATCATACGTATTTGAGTTGAGGAAATCTTCATTTCCAGCAATAAATGCTGTTTCTCATCTCTGTCTTTCTTAGGTTACAGCAAAATGGATATAGCAAATCCCCCAACTTCCAAATGTATCACTTATTGGAAAAGAAAAGTTAAATCTGAATATATGCGACTTCGACAACTTAAACGGCTCCAGGCCAATATGGGTGCAAAGGTAAAAAAATAATTCCCAAGTGAAAGATGGTACATTTCAGTGACAGTATATTGATCCAAGGTGCAGTGGTTGGATTTTTTTTTTTTTAAATTCTTTGTTTTGAAATCGTAACAGTCTTTTCTTGGCTTTGCCAGGCTCTGTATGTAGCAAATTTTGCAAAGGTTCAAGAAAAAACCCAGATCCTCAATGAAGAATGGAAGAAGCTTCGTGTCCAACCAGTTCAGTTGATGAAGCCTGTGAGTGGGCATCCTTTTCTGAAAAAGGTACTTCTGGGGCTCTCAGTTCAGCCTTGTTCTCTTCCGTGGCCTCAAGTTTTTTTTTGTGTTTGTTTTTTGACTCATTAGACTATAAGTGTGGATAATAAGTAAGGATAATGGATATAGCTATTATAATCAATTTTGAATAATTAACATCTGTAATTCAAAGAACAACCTTTTCACCTTTTATTCTTCTAAGTATACTCATGAGTTTGTCATAGAAAAACTAGACATTTACCACCTACTTTCCTGGTACTGTGTCCCAGCTCCAGAGTCACCTTCTCTGTGCCTTGTTTGGCTTCCCAGGTGTTCTGGTTCCCTAGTGCCGCTCTGACAAGAATATATCACAAATGGGATGGCCTTACCAAACAGGAGTTTATTCTTACAATTTGGAGGCTTTAGGTCCAAGTTCAAAGGGCCAGGCTGTAGGGGCTGGCTGAAAGTCCCTCAACCTTGGGGTCCAGCTCTGCCTCCTGCTACCGGCCCACTGGAGCTAGAGGCATTTCTTAGTCAGACAGCTGCTGGCTGCTGAGGCTGAGAAGCCCCAAGGTTGACATGTAAAAAGGCACAGTCCCGATCTTACCAAACTACGTGGCAGATCATTAACTTCAATCCATTGTAAGTCCCACGGTTGGCAGAGCATGGCAGGCTGCTGAACAATGACACGGCTATATGCAGGGTCCAAGCGTGCCATAGGTTAGAGACCATTCCCAAAGGCTTCTCCTTATATACAGGAAGCAGACCACATACCCAAAGGCAGCTACCCAGCTGCTTGTGGTAGATCCCACCATAGAGTTGATTGCACCACCAGCTGCCCAGCCACTCAACTAGGCCCAGCCAAGTTGACACAAACCGAACTACCACACCAGGTATACTGTGATATTAGGAAAGGAGTACCTTGAATACTGGGCAGGATTATACTGATCAATGGGATAGCTGTTATGGTGGAAAAAAAAAGTCTGGTTTCTTAAAAAGATAATATTTTTAATATATAAAAAGCAGATAGTATATTGAATGAGATTCTCCCAAAGCACATTAAAAATAAGCCAAAAACAGAACACTGTCATCAAGTTGATTCTGACTCATAGAGACCCCCATGGAGTTTCTGAAGTGGTAAATCTTTACAGGAGTACATTGTCCCATCTTCCTTTCATGGAATGGCTGGTAGGTTAGAACTGCCAAACTTTTAGTAAGCAAATACCTTAGATACCACCAGAACCCCTTCAAATCACATTATACAGCTATAATTTCTATACTACTTTGCTTCCCTCTGTACTGTTCCCATCACCTATGTGGCTGAGTTGATGTTCACTGTGTTGAAGTGTATATCCTCAGAAAAACTTCCTCTCTCATCTTCATCTCCTAGGACTTTCAGAGGCCCTTTGCCATTATGGACACCAACAGTTTTGGATTCAATTAAAATCAATTCAGTCACAGTGTCAGGCACTGTCCTGGGCTCTGTAGAGGATACCAAACCAAAAACCAAACCTGTTGCTGTTGAATCAATTCTAACTCATAGCAACCCTATAGGAGGGAGTAGAATTGCCCCATAGGGTTTCTAAGGCTGTAATCTTTACGAAGGAAACTGCTTCCTCTTTCTCCTGTGGAGCAGCTGGTGGGTTCAAACCATTGACCTTTCAGTTACCAACCAAGAGTTTAACTGTACCACCAGAGCTCCTCTGTAGAAGATACAAAGGTGAGTAAGAGTCAGTTCCTGTTTCTCACAAATTTACAGTCTCATGATTCCTTTTTGGAGCTGATTATAAAACTCCAAGCTTATTACTTTGTAAGAACTAGAAAGCTACTGGGATCATTTTGGAAAGAAACTACAGTTCTCTCTTGGGTTATGTGCTTGCCTTTTCCTTTCATGTCATTGCTTACATTTCAGTGTACCATCGAGAGCATTTTCCCAGGATTCGCAAGCCAACATATGCTAATGAGGTCTCTGAACACAGTGGCATTGGTTCCCATCATGTATTCCTGGTCACCTCTCCAGCAGAACTTCATGGTATGTATTGAAACTGTATGATTTTCTTCAGAGCATATGTCAGAGTACTTAACAAAGCTTGGACGCGCAGGGCAGAACATTGTTATAACTTATTTACACTTAAAAATATATATTGCAAGTTGTTGTGTTAGTTTTGGTGCTGTCTGAAGTGTCCTTCTAAGTTGGCTCTTGTTCTTTTTTGAGTGACTGAGACTGAGCAGAACTCCAATTTTCTCTTACTGCCTTGGCCAGTTTTGTAACAACATACAGTTAAATGCAGTTTAAATCAGATGCTTGAGGCTTAAGCAGATTGACATCTCCCTGCTGATGAAGCAATCCTTTCTGAATCCCTTAAAGGCAAGATGCTTTGAAAGCAACTGTGATAACAGGTGCACATGGATCCACAGTCCTTTTATCTGGACTTTATGCTGACCCCTACTAAGATTGTTTGTGCTTCTGATAATCCATGCTTTCTAAATGCTACCATTGCTTCTCATCCACCTGTGGCAGATAGCAGTACTACTGACTGGAATAGGATATAAGTTTATAGAAGGGCATCATCTCTTAGAATAAAATTTCAGAGTAGTAATTCTACTTGATACTTGGGGATTTGAGAATGATTTTGTTCTCTGCAAAGGGAGAAAACATCCTTTAGTATTGTTTATTGCTGGAAAATATCTGTAGCCCACACTACAATTGACTTTACGTTCCCATTGAGAGTGATTGGCATGAGTTTTAATCATAATTATTACTATTGGACAGGCTAGTTGTAGTCTGTTTATAGAATATCCAAAAATTTTATAGTTGCCTTATTTCTGTTCCAGATATTCTACTCTTCTTTTTCATTTGTCTTTCTCTGTACTTATAAAAAGAAGACTTTTTAGACTATTAGACTATTACTTACATGATGTTTATATCTTATTCACAGTGATGTTTAATGCAAATAAAATAAGAAAATAAATGGAAGCATTGTGGAAAATAAATGTATCAGATTCTAGGTGTTGGTGGAAATGCTGTTGTTTGTATCAAGCTAACTTTCTGTTGCTAATATCACCAAATAATTAAACTGATTTTTCCCCCCAAGAGGAGTGTTTTGCCTTCCATTTGAGATTTCATTGGCAAAACAAAATGACTAGTCTTTACAATCTAGAAAACTCTGTAACAATGGCAGTTTCAGAGACTCAAGAAGCAAAAAAGGCTTAACAAAGAATTCATTAAACGGGAAAGAGGAGACGCATAGTGGCTTCATGGAATGAGTCACATCTGGTTTGATTGCAGGTAGAAGATGAGACAGTTTTGTGCAATATTCCCTACATGGGAGATGAGGTGAAGGAAGAGGATGAAACTTTCATTGAGGAGCTGATCAATAATTATGATGGGAAAGTCCACGGTGAAGAAGGTATTGATCTTGGACCTTCTGGTAGAAAACATTAGAGTACACCCACTCCTCACCAAGATGGTTAGGTTCCAAAGACCAGGTTGTTATGTGAAAATCAGCATTATGCAAAAATGGAGGGTGGTTTCGTCATTATAGTATATCATTACATAACTGCCAAACTACTGAGAGTCATGGCACAGCCAAGTTGACTCATAACCTTAACCATCACAGCCAGCATTACTCTTATCTCACCTCTTACCTCGGCATTTGTTACTGCTAGATATATGCTGTTATTGCACGAAATAGATAGTAAATTTTTTACTATGGTGATAAATGCAAAATGTGAGATAGTTGATAAGTGAGGAGTAGGTGTAGTGTCTTATATTTGGTACCTTATCATCTTGCTTTTACCTTCTACCCTTGGGGTACACTTTGAAGAATATTTCAATGTCATTATATGGCTGGGAGTTAAATTTTTATAGTAAGAATCAAAAAAACCCCAAACTCACTGCTGTCGAGTCAAGTCAGATCCAACTCATAGCGACCCCTCCTTGGGTTTCTGAGGCAGTATCAGTATGGAGGTAGATTGCCCAGTCTTCCTTCCGAGGAGTGGCTGGTAGGTTTGAACTGCTAGCCTTCTGGTTAGCAGTCCATTGCCTCAGGCACTATGCCACCAGAGCTCCCATATTAAGATATTCCAGTTAAATTTTAAAAGTTGAGACATACAAGGATGATACAGTAACTACTGGCTAGAGAGAAATTTCATTGCACAAAAGTTGATCTTAGGAATTTTCCATAAAGCATCCAGGGCCATTTTATTCTTACTCCCCTATTTCTGAGAATAGCAATGAGTGTAACCTCTCTGTCATACTTATTTGATCCTGGTATCCTCTGGACCTCCCAGAAGTTGGTTCCAATATCCGAATGAAAGCAAGTCATTTGGATTTAGCTATAGTTCTAGAAAGGGCTGTCAGTGTGAGAGAAGCATGAAGATGGGGAGAGACTCTTGGGACAACCCCTCCTGCTCTTCAGACAATTGTGTGTGCACTTGTGATGTTGTTGAAATGTATTATTGATCCACAGCACCCCCTGGTGTTCAAAGACTTTCTTCTGAACTGTAGTATGTATAACCCTGTAGAGTATGATTTTTGGAAAAATGCTGTCTTTTGATGCAGATAAGTCACTTCTGACCAGTAAGCAGCAAATTAAAGTGACTTTTCATTTTATCATTCTTTATTTGCCCCAATCATGGTGAGTTGCACACTTTTGTGACATTTCTGTCCATAAATACAGGGTTTGTGGCTACAGAAGTGAAATACCCTGGTAAGAATAGAGCCTGTAACTGGATTTCAGTAGACCCACTTTAGCCAGCTGAACTGTTGCAGATGTAAGAGCCAGTCAATTGATTGTAATTTTCTGATTGTTCATGTAACAATTGAAATATGTTACCTATCTAGACCTTGGGGATTCTGGGACAAGAAGACCTTCCTAATAGGACCAATGGAGTATGGAAGGACCACTGCTCACCCAACTAATCCTTATGTTTCAGAGATGATCCCTGGATCTGTCTTGATTAGTGATGCGGTTTTCCTGGAGTTGGTAGATGCCCTGAATCAGTATTCTGATGAGGAAGAGGAAGGGCACAATGACACCTCAGATGGAAAGCAGGATGATAGCAAAGAAGACCTGCCAGTAACAAGAAAAAGAAAACGACATGCTATTGAAGGTAAATAGCACTGCTTCTGCATCCCACTTTGAAAGTGGCAGGGTTGGGGAAGAAAGAAGAACAAAAAAGGTTTTTTGCTTATTAAAGGGTGTTGATGTTTCTCATTGGCCCAGTTAAAAGGAAAACATGCTCATTGGTAGCGTAAGACAGCTGTAACCTACCTGAAGAAAGTAGAAGCACTTACAGAATATTCATTGTTCGTTTCTAATTATAAATAAGATGTTTGGAAAGCACGAAAAATTATAAAGAAGAAAATAAAGTTACTCTTTAATCCTCCCAACTAGGAATAACCAGCATTAATATTCTGGTATGTTTCCTTCCAGACTTAAAACATGTACCTATATAAATCAACATGTGTTTTTTAATTTTATGTGAAATTGAGATCATACCATATATGCAATTTTATGTCCCCTTTTATTTAATCTTATATCATGGACATTCTTCTATATCATTAATACTGTGGATTTAATTATTGTTGTTGTTGTTATGTTATTTAGTTATACTCTATGTTAAATCATCTTTTTTAGGGAAATAGTTCTCTCTCCTATTGTAGCAGTGTAATATCAGTCTTATTCTCTAGTATCAACATTATGGTAGGAAGCTTTTGTATTCAAGTCTGTCCTGTTTTCATCTCCAGAGTCTAACTTGGACTGTAGATTTTAGTGCTAATATGTAGATAACTCTGACTTTCTTATTTCCTGGTGCCCTATGTGAGACATGTGCAGGTAGCGTTGAGCTCTCTGTATTCCCAAGCAGTCAGGGGTTAGGTTGGCTTTAGCATCTCTGATCAAAGTGCTGTGACAAAGGGAAAGCAGCTTTGTTTGCTCTGATGATATCACTTGGGGGCTTTCTGTCATCTTCGATTCAGGCAACAAAAAAAGCTCCAAGAAACAGTTCCCAAATGACATGATCTTCAGTGCAATTGCCTCAATGTTCCCTGAGAATGGTGTCCCAGATGACATGAAGGAAAGGTAGGCAAAGCTGTCACACTTGGAATAGAGTGTTTGGATAAAACTTTTATTCAAGCTCTTATGTTTTGATTAACAAGAAGCTTTATTTATGATAAATGTATTATGATTTGCTTGTTTTTCTGATTATGTTGTACTTACTTGCTTACCTCTAAGGAGCTCTGGTGGTGTAGTGGGTAAGGCATTTGGCTGCTAACCAGGTGAGCAGTTCAAACTCACAAGCTGCTCCACAGGAGGAAGATGAGGCAATCTACTTCCATAATGATTTATGCCGTGCAAACCCAGTGGGGGTCCCTATGGGTCAGAATTGATTTGATGGTAGTGGGTTTGGTGTTTTGCTTACCTCTAAATGCCCTTTCCCAGATAAGGATCATTGTTTGCTGTAAGTTTGGGCAGAGAACTTTTATTCTGCCATTTTTTTCTGGGGAGTTACTCCAGTGCACTTACCAGATATTTTCCCTTTTCAGGCATACACCCAGCTTAGTTACAGTGGTGCACCCACTTAGTTACCCATAAGTCCTTCATCAACAAGGCCCATAAAAAACACCCATCTTACCTTGACAGACCATACATGGGTGACCATCAGTACTCTGTCTCTATTTTCCCATTGGAGACATTGCCTTGGAAGGAATTCTTTTCTCTTTTCTTAAATAGGTATCGAGAGCTAACGGAGATGTCAGACCCCAATGCACTTCCTCCACAGTGTACACCCAACATCGATGGCCCCAATGCCAAGTCTGTGCAGCGGGAGCAGTCTCTGCACTCCTTCCACACGCTTTTTTGCCGGCGCTGCTTTAAATACGACTGCTTCCTTCATCGTGAGTGGGGCTCCTATGTTTGAAATGCTCTCCTCTTTTCCAGACCCAGCCACCATTTCCTCCCCTCAATTCTAGTTCATCATAGACTAGCTTCTGGTCAGATGATGGTTTTACAAAAGGCCAGTTCTGTTTTCACTTGTCCCATTGTCACTGCCCCTCACTACCTCCTAGCTTTGGAAGGATTGTGTTGATTTCAGAAGTGACTAAATTATGTGTGCCCTGATGGTGGCTATTTATGTCAAATTTTAGCTTCTACAGTAGCTACCTAATCCAGCCTTGTTCCTCCCCACTCCAATGAGTGGAAGGACCACTGGAAACAGGACAGTTTGTGTTTTCCAGCTTTTCATGCCACCCCTAATGTATACAAACGGAAGAACAAAGAAATCAAGATTGAACCAGAACCATGTGGGACAGAATGCTTCCTTTTGCTGGTACGTTCTTGAGCTGTTCTAGCATTGTTAACTCTTGAAAATTGCTCAGGAAATGGTCCTGAGGCTCTCTGCCCCCAGGAACACAAGCCAAGAGAGTCAGTATAGCACTCTGGGGATCACAGATAAATAAAATAAAATATGGCTTCTACTCTTAAGGAGCTCCTCAGACACTGAGCAGTGGGACAGTTAAGTTAGTCCTTTGGAATGAAAGTTGAAGATCACTAAAGGCTTTCTGCTCTAAATAACATCTTATATGTAGATATTTTAGAGCATGAGATATTATTAGAACTGGAGCAGATTGTGTGAGTGTGCTGTGCACTCACTCCATTGTCTTTGAGGTCTTTCACTATACGTTCATTACTAGGGGAATAACACAAAAGCACTGGTGTCTTCTTGTGATGTAACCAACCAGATGGACCATCCCTGATGGACAGACCTTATGAGGCAGCATAAATTCTGGCTACCTGGGAAGAGGCAGTTCACTGAGAGCTAGAAGGGAATGGATCAGTTAGACTTGCCAAAGAACTATTTTGCTTTCTATATAATAAGTTGAAGCTAAGATAAAGAATAAAAATACCTTGATAAAATTTCTACCACCAAGGGACTTCTGGTGGCATAGTGCCTAAGGCATTTGACTGCTAACCAGAAGTGTGGCAGTTCAAACCCACCAGCCTCCTCGGAAGGAAGGTTGGGCAATCTACTTCCGTAGTGATACTGCCTCGGAAACCCAAGGAAAGGTCGCTGTGAGTCAGATCCGACTCAACAACAGTGGGAAAGTAAAATTAGATTATACAGCCAAGTACCTGTGAGGTCATCTTTTGTGGGATAATAGAAGGAAAGATGGTAAGGAGTGCTGTTGGATATACATCTGGAGAATGGGCTATATGATAAGAGCAAAAGAATGAGTTTACCTAATTTACTCTTTCCTTAACTTGTATTGACTCCCTTCTATGTGCCAAGTATTGTGTTAGGCCCTTACCATTCATTATCTGTCTATTCATAAGGTTTTCCCTGGCCAATTCTTTGAGAAGTGGATGGCCTCCTCCTTCTTCCTAGTCTGTCTCACTTTGTAAGCTGGGCTGATACCTGTGCACCATGTGCATCCTGCTGGGTTTGAAACACCAGTGGCTCAGCCTCAAAACTCACATCAGCACGGTAGGACAAACTGACAGACAAGTTTGTCTCCCTGTTGGAAACTTCTCCTACCACCCTTACCTGGATTCAGAAGAGGACATGGAACAAGGGATATCACAGCTGTTGTCAGATGGATCTTGGCTCAAGGCAAAGAATACCAGAAAGATGTTTACTTGTGTTTTATTGACTATGCAAAGGCATTTGATTGTGTGGATCATGACAAATTATGAATAACATTGAGAAGAATGGGAATTCCCGAACACTTGATTGTACTCATGAGGAACCTGTACCTTGACCAGGAGGCTGTCGTTCGAACGGAACAAGGGGACACCTCATGGTTTAAAATCAGGAAGGAAGTGTGTCAGGGTTGTATCCTTTCCCCATACTTATTCAATCTATATGCTGAGCAAATAATCTGAGAAGCTGGACTATACGAAGAAAAACGTGGCATCAGGATTGGAGGAAGAATCATTAACAACCTGAGATACGAAGACGATAGAACTTTGCTTGCTGAAAGTGAGGATGACTTGAGGCACTTATTGATGAAGATTGAAGAATACAGTCTGAAGTATGGATTATGTCTCAATATAAAGAAAACAAAAACCTTCACAACTGGACCAGTGAGCAGCATCACAATAAATGGAGAGAAGATTGAGGTTGTCAAAGCATTTACTTTGCTTGGTTCTACATTCGATGCCAATGGAAGCAGCAGTCAGGACATTAGATGACGTGTTTGTTGTTGTTGTTATGTGCCATCGAGTTGGACCCGACTCATAGCGGCCCCTCCTTGGGTTTCCAAGGCAGTATCACTAGGGAAGTAGATTGCCCAACCTTCCCCGACATGTAGCATTGGGAAAGTCAACCGTGAAGGAACTGTTTCAAGTGCTGAGGAGCAAGGATGTCTCCTTGAGGACTAAGGTGTGCCTGACACAAGCCATGATATTTTCAGTCGCCTTGTATGCATGTGAGAGCTGGACAATGAATAAGGAAGACCGAAGAAGAGTTGATGCTTTTGAATTGTGGTGTTGGTGAAGAATGCTGAAAGTACGTACCATGAACTGCTAAAAGAACTAACAGATCTGTCCTGGAGGAAGTGTACCCAAAATGCTCCTTGGAAGCGAGAATGGCCAGACTTCATCTCACCTATTTTGGTCATGTTGTCAGAAGGGACCACTCCTTGGAGAAGGATGTCATGCTTGGTAGGGTAGAGGTTCGACGAAAGAGGGGGAGGCCTTCAACGAGATGGATTGACACGGTGACTGCGATGATGGGCTCAAGTATGGCAGGGATTGTGGAGCTGGCACGGGATCGGGCAGTGTTTCATTCTGCTGTGCATGGGGTCGCTATGAGTCAGAAACGACTCAACGGCACCTAACAACAACATTCATTATCTTATTTCCATCTTATAACAGGGTCCCAAGGTGGAGAAACTGTGTATATGAAAGTTGCGTATCTTGCACCATTTACAGTCAGTGGTATGGCAAAGATGAAAGTCAAACCCTGGTCACTCCACAGTTCATACTTTTTTTTATTCCTCCATGCTTTGCTTTGCTTTTTTTAAATTACGTCTTATTAGGTCAGCATACCAGTATTTATATAACTCTAAAGAGTGTTGTCCTTCTCATAGTACTCATCCTGGGACCCTGGACATATATTAGAAAGATGCCACCAATGCCCAAAATACGTTTTTTTTTTAAAACAGATATGTATACAGTTTTTCTTTTATTACTTTGTCATGAGTAGATATTCAAATATGCTTGACTCTTTTTCTCTGACTTTTTATTAAGAACATAAATGTTCAATTGAAATATAAATGTTTCAGTCATCCAGAGGAGTTGAAAGATACTGTCTTCTTCAATTAATAACATTTTTCCATATTCGCTTTATCCATATGTCTGTTATGTGTATCCTGCTGAGCCAATTGAAAATAAATTGCAGACATTGTGATACTTGTTTGCTAAATATTTTGGTATGTGCCTCTTAAAAATAAAGATGTTCTCTTACATAACCAAATTATTACACCTAAGAAAATTAACAAACGTTTCACATATCATCTGGTATAAGCAGCGTAATGATAAACAGAAAATGTTGACATTGTTAAGGATTTCATTTTACTTGGATCCACAATCAATGCCCATGGACGCAGGAGTCAGGAAATCAAATGACATACTGTATTGGACAAATCTGCTGCAAAAAAACCTCTTTAAAGTATTAAAAAGCAAAGATGTCATTTTGAGGACTGAGCCAAGGCCTGACCTAAGTCATGGTATTTTCAGTCACCTTGTATGCATGTGAAATCCTGACGATGGAAAAGGAAGACCAAAGAAGAATTGATGCATTTGAGTCATAGTGTTGGTGAAGAACACCAAATATACCATGGACTGCTGGAAGAATGAACAAATCTGTCTTGGGCAAAGTACAGCCAGAATGCTTCTTAGAAGTGTAATTTGGACATGTTACCAGGAGGGACTCTGGAGAAGGACATGATGCTTGATGAAGTAGAGAGCCAGTAAAAAAAGAGGAAGACCCCAATGAGATGGATTGATGCACAGGCTGCAACAATGGGCTCAAACGTAGCAACAATTGTGTGGATGGTACAGGATCGGGCAGTGTTTCATTCTGTTGTCCATAGGGTCACTGTGAGTTGGAACTGACCTAACAATGAGACGTACATTCTATATTGAAGTTTTTTCAGTTGTTCTAAGAATAGATGCTTTTTTTCAACAATATTATCTAGTCATGAATCATATTTGGTTAATATAGCATTCTAGTTTTCTTTAATCTCGGAAAATCCCAGCACCTTTTTTTTCCCCCCTCCTTTTTGAAAAGTTCAGGTTGGTTGTCTTGTAAAATGTTCCACATTCTGCATTTGTCTTTTTTTTTTTTTTTTAGTGTCATTTAACTCTCTGCGCACTCCCCTGTTGCCCATGAGCTTGAAATCATCTTTGGAGGCTTAGTCATATTGATGTTAAATGTTTCCAGTAAGAATGTTGTATAAGTGATGCTGCATAATTTGTAATGCATCGTAAACACATACTTCCAGACTCAATGTCAATGAATTTTGAAACTTCATCTTCTCAATGCTCTTTATTACCTACAGTATATCATTCTGGATATCCTTTGTGATAGTAAACCTTTATCTTTTACAAGTGGGCTTAGTTACCAAAAACAGCTGGAAGTCATTGGGCACCAAGTCTAGTGAGAAGATAGATATCAGGTTGAATGATACAGTTACTTAATACATAAATAACAGGACCATAGCTGTAATAACTATAAAATAATGAAACAGTATTCAGTATTCTTCTGAGTTTCATATACTGGCATGTTGTTTAAGTAATAATATTGTACAAATTCAGAGATTACATTTATTACTGAACTAAAAGCAGTATGGTAGAGTGTGAAGAACAGTGGCCTGGTGAACAGGAGCCCTAATTTCTGATCCCCACTCTGAAATAATTAACTATATACCCTTGAGCAAATCAGTCCCTTCCCCTCTCTAGACTGCATTCTTTCATCTGTAAGAAAATGTGTTCTCAAATTCTAAACAGCTAACATGCAAATGAGTTTTAGATACAACTCACTTAGAAGTTGAAGATGCATAGAGTATATCTTTTTAAAGATTATAAGACAGCTCTTTTGTAACCAGCATTCTTCGCCAGCACCACAACTCAAAAGCATCAACTCTTCTTCAGTCTTCCTTATTCATTGTCCAGCTCTCACATGCATACCAGGCGACTGGAAATATCATGGCTTGTGTCAGGCGCACCTTAGTCCTCAAGGAGATGTCCTTGCTCCTCAGCACTTGAAACAGTTCCTTCGCAGTTGACTTTCCCAATGCTACACGTCGTCTAATGTCCTGACTGCTGCTTCCGTTGGCATCGATTGTAGAACCAAGCAATGTGAATTCCTTGACAACCTCAATCTTCTCTCCATTTATTGCGATGCTGTTCATTGGTCCAGTTGTGAAGATTTTTGTTTTCTTTATGTTGAGATGTAATCCATACTGCAGACTGTATTCTTCAACCTTCCTCAGTAGGTGCCTTAAGTCATCCTCACTTTCAGCAAGCAAAGTTGTATCGTCTGCATATCTCAGGTTGTTAATGATTCTTCCTCCAATCCTGATACCACGTTTTTCTTCATATAGTCCAGCTTCTCGGATTATTTGCTCAGCATATAGATTGAATAAGTGTGGAGAAAGAATACAACCCTGACGCACTCCCTTCTTGATTTTAAACCATGTAGTGTCCCCTTGTTCTGTTCAAACGACAGCTTCCTGGTCAAGGTACAGATTCCTCATGAGTACAATCAAGTGCTCCGGAATTCCCATTCTTCTCAGTGTTATCCATAATTTGTCATGATCCACACAATCAAATGCCTTTGCATAGTCAATAAAACACAAGTAAACATCTTTCTGGTATTCCCTTCCTTGAGCCAAGATCCATCTGACAACAGCTATGATATCCCTTGTTCCACGTCCTCTTCTGAATCCGGCTTGAACGTCTGGAAGTTCTTTATCAATATACTGCTGCAAATGTTTCTGAATTATCTTCAGTAAGATCTTACTTGCTGAAAGTACCGTGGACTGCTAAAAGAACTAACAGATCTGCCCTGGAGGAAGTGCAGCCAGAATGCTCCTTGGAAGCAAGAATGGCCAGATTTCGTCTCACCTATTTTGGTCATGTTGTAAGAAGGGATCATTCCCTGGAGAAGGATGTCATGCTTGGTAGGGTGGAGGGTCGACGAAAGAGGGGGAGGCCTTCAAGGAGATGGATTGATACGGTGGCTGCAATGATGGGCTCAAGTATAGCAGGGATTGTGGGGCTGGCACGGGATCGGGCAGTGTTTCGTTCTGCTGTGCATGGGGTTGCTATGAGTCAGAAACGACTCGACGGCACTTAACAACAACAACTTTTGTAACCAGAGGTACATTTGTAAGTAAATGTGTAAGTTTTAGAAGATTTTTAAAGAAGATACAGAAAGGAGAAAAAAAGACATTATCATTGCACTGAAGCCAAGATGTTGAGGAAGATGAAGGTTTGTGATGATGGAATCAATAAGGTGATGCTGGGCCTGTTCCTGTTTCCCATCTGTAATGTGTCTGTTGCAGGAAGGAGCAAAGGAGTACGCCATGCTCCACAACCCTCGCTCCAAGTGCTCTGGTCGTCGCCGGCGACGGCACCACATGGTCAGTGCTTCCTGCTCTAATTCTTCTGCTTCTGCTGTGGCTGAGACTAAGGAAGGGGACAGTGACAGGGATACAGGCAATGACTGGGCCTCCAGTTCTTCAGGTACAGTGAACCGAAAATCACCATTCTTTCCTTTCCACCTAAAGACTCTGGTAGTCCCAGGAACACTGCCCAATAGTTCACATCACTACCTTTTTAAAATTGCTAATTCTTTCCACAGGTTTGCCTGTAAGCAGTAGAAACAGGGAGTAATTTTGTTCTAACTATTCTGTCTTTTAAAGTAGATTGAAGTATTTCTGAGTCTTTGTCAAACTATTAATGACAATTACGTTCTATCTTCTTCTGTTTCTCTTACTTCTCCTAGAGGCTAACTCTCGCTGTCAGACTCCCACAAAACAGAAGGCAAGTCCAGCCCCGCCTCAGCTCTGTGTAGTGGAAGCACCCTTGGAGCCTGTGGAATGGACTGGGGCTGAAGAGTCTCTTTTTCGAGTCTTCCATGGTACCTACTTCAACAACTTCTGTTCGATAGCCAGGCTTCTGGGGACCAAGACATGCAAGCAGGTACTGTCTAAAACGAAACAGCGTGGGCCCTCCATCAGTTGAGCTATCCCTTTACCATCTTATAAGGCTGCATGTCTGGAGAGAAGTGGTTTTAGCTCCAGTCCCTTGTGAGTCTGTGCTTCTGGGCCATGAAGTGGGTTCCACAAACCCAGGGCCTCCTGCCGATACCAGGTTTAGCAAGGCTTGAGGAGCTGCTCTCCTCATCACTGAATTCTAGTTTCTGCCGCTGGCTCCTAGCTAACTATTCTGGATATTTCTGCACTCTTTAAGCTTCCTGTTCTTGTTGTTGTTCTTGCCTTTCTTTCTAGAAGGGACCTCCAGGTCTTTCTGTCAGTCTTCTACTCTAGAACACTCCTGCTATTACTTCAGCAGTTGCTGCTCCCCCATCAATCTCCTTGATTGCTTTATTCTCCAATTTTTCTATCAGTAGATTTTCTAATTACCACTCCCAGTGGCTGGGCCCACCTGCTGGTTCTTACTCATACCATCACTAGAAACACAGTTTCATAGCAGCCACTGATTCAGTGGAAGCAGGAAAAGACAGGAACTTGGAACAGGTGTACAGTGAGAAAGGGATACCAGAGCTTGGGCCATGCTCACGTAACTCTGAGTTCTAGAGGAGTCTCAGTGGCTTTTTCTTGGTTCCTGTGTTTAGAACAAGTAATAGAACCAAGGTGCCTTTGCTTTCATTTTGGAGCTCATACCTGTTTCCCTCACGCGTGCATTCTTAACCTAAAAGTTCATGGGATTTATATGCAAATTTATGCGTGTGTATTTTCCTGAGACGACAATTTATAGTTTTCACAGAATCTCTAGAGGCCTAGAACCAAAAAGAAAAAAGCTAAAAACTAGTGCTATAACGGAGGAACCACACTGAAGGGGAACCTGCCTTCCTGAGATGCTGACCTACAGGAATAGTCAAGTGGCTCTGACATCTTCGTACCAACAGAGGGAGCTAGTGCTCAGAGTAGAAAGAGTTAGATGGTGGCCATATCATGGCTTAAACTCAGTTACACAAGGTATACAAAGTTGCTTTTCCTAAGAGACAAATCCTGTTGGTAAGAGTCGGGCAGTCAGCTCATGGATGGGGTTGGTATAAAGAGCAATAGATAAAAGCTGCTGACCAGGGACATGTTACTGTACTTGGTATTTGTCCCTTCCCAAGTCAGGATAAATGCTTAAGAATTATCTTCAGAGCCAGTGATGTAATATTCCAATGCCAGTCTGTCCCTAACTGAGAAATGGCCAAGGGTAGCTGCCTGTGAGCTCTCCAGCTCTGTTCAAGCCTAGTTAGTACCTGGCTGCTGTCACATAGCTGACCACCCCACTTGAGAAGGAATGATAGGTCCTGTTGGATTTCTCTTCCAGGTCTTTCAGTTTGCAGTCAAAGAATCGCTTATCCTGAAGCTGCCAACAGATGAGCTCATGAACCCCTCGCAGAAGAAGAAAAGAAAGCACAGGCAAGGGTCGGACAAAGGACGTTTTGTGACCAGGCAGTTTCTTGTGCTCTTACTCCCCCTTTGGACTTCCCATCTGCCTCCCTTTTAACTGTTGCACAAAGCTATGTGATGTCCATCCATTTAGCATTACACAGCCAGAGTTCTTAGTGCTCCCTGAGGGTCTATGCCCTGGACCAGCCCTACTGCCTCCCTTTCCCCACCCACATATGCTGTGGACGAGGAGATAACTGGTTTTCCATTTAAGCTCCTAGCCAACATGTGGGCTGACCTCACAGGCTCACCCAGGGGACCATCCCTTTTTCCCTGTTGAGTGGTTAGCTATCACCATACCCTCTTCTCAACTCTAGCCAGAATTTTTTCCTTTGCTTTTTTTGGCACTTGTATTGTTTTTCTAAGTTGCATAATAACACTGTCTTCTAGCTTGCTTTTTGTTAGGGTTGAAAGTTTTGTAAAAAGTTTGGCACTTTGCCTGGTTTGGTTCCCTAATAAGTACATAGTCTATGAAAGGAAGGAGCTGATGCTAATTCTCGGTATAGATGGAAGTCCCTGTTACGTCTGCCTCTCAGTTTCCTTCACTCAGAGCAGTTTGGTGAAAAGACTTCCTACCTCCTCACCTTGAAAGTCCTTCACAGCTCTGCCTCCACCAAGAGGGAGAGAGAATGAAGCAACAGCGTTGTAACGCACATACAGCTTTTGTGGTTTCTGTATGTTTGTTCTTTGTTTGATAGTAGGGGGGTGGATATTTACTGCTTAGGTTGGAATCTTGAATCACAGGCCAACTGGATTCAGGAAATTCGGCAGTAGCTTCTGTGTAGGGACACTACTTCCAGAGTAGTGGCCTCCTTTTAAGGGATTTGGGGAGATACACCCCAGTCATCAAACCTCAGTCCCTCACAGCAGATCACATTGTCATTTGCCCACATCTGCAGAGCTCCTGAGGGCTGTGACCCAGACCCATCCCTTTTCTTTTTCAGGTTGTGGGCTGCACACTGTAGGAAAATTCAGCTGAAGAAAGGTACGTTTCACCAGGCAGTTCTTCAGTGGTTCAGTATGAGGTCTCACCCTTGTGGCCATCTTACTGCCCCACCTGCAGCTGCACTTGCTGACCCGGAGCTACTTCCGCCGCCTGCAGATTGCTGTGCAGTAGCTGAGAAGAGCTCAGCCTCTCACTGCAGCTGAGAAGACCTTTCAAGAGGCAGAACTTGGGGCTTTGTGGTCTCTGCCTTTTACAGCGTGCCATTTACCACGTTCTTGACCCTGTTTAATGTTTAGAATAGCTGCCCCTTAGTCCCAGACCATCTCCACACTCTCCCCGCACACAAAAAGCAACCCCAGTGTAGCCTATGAATAACCATCTTGTATGATTTCTTCTCATTTTGGTGCTAAAATACGTGTCCAAGATTACAGTTAGAATCGGCCTCCTCTGAATCAGGGCAGATGGACACTTGAGAGGGGAGGCAGTTAGTGAGCATGTTTGCAGCACTGCCCTGTCTGCCCTGCTCTCTCCTAGATAACTCTTCTACACAAGTGTACAACTACCAGCCCTGCGACCACCCAGACCGGCCCTGTGACAGCACCTGCCCTTGCATCATGACTCAGAATTTCTGTGAGAAGTTCTGCCAGTGTAACCCAGACTGTAAGAGTTCTTCCACATTTCCCCTACGGTTTCCCAGACCAGTTGGCCTCAAAGCTTCCCAGGTTTCCCTCTATTCTCCTGCCTTTTTTTTTTTGCTGCTATTGGCCTTCTCATATTTTCTTTGCTATATTTTAGGTATCTTACAAAGAGAACAAGGTACTTAAGATCTAGAAGAGTCATAAAACAAACAAAACCCTTAAGTTTAAAGTTCTAAAAGCAATAGAAGTGAGCTGTTCTCCCCAACTTTGCCTGTCAGGGCAAAATTAAGACACATGGGAATCTTTCTCCTTAAATGAAGTGGTAGTCTCCCTTTTTAGGATGTCCCGTTGGGAAAAAAAAAATTTACTGAAAATTTTAGGTTACAGTTCTCTATGTGTCTATTTTAGTTCAGTGTCTGGGGTTTTCGTAACAGGTAGGACAGGAGTCGAGATGTCCATAGAAGGTAGAGGCTAAAGTTCTTCTCTTTCACTTCTCTCACCATGCCCTTCCCCACTGAAGGCTGGGCAGTTCGGTGGCACCCCTGGGGCTTGCAGAACTTGATGCCCAGGCAGTTGTGTAAATTCTTCATAACCCGTAGCAGATACCAATCTTAGCCACAGCAAAGAGGTGCTTGTGCTGGGAAAGGCAGTGGGTGGAGGAGGGTTGGTATAGAGCGGATATATTCTGTTCTCAAAATGATACTTGTTTTGATGGTGAGAGTTTACCAGTGGAGAGCACTGATTTCATTTTGTCTAGGGCACTGTCCACTTGAATTCTACATTCCCCCAAGGAAGAGGGAAGAACATTTTGGGGGAATCTCTTGGAAATACATTTTCCCAATAGTCAAGCCTGCTTTCTGGGAGACACAGGCATGAATGTTGGGAAACTCTCCATTTTCTTCAGGGAGAAAACCTGAATATGTCATGATCAGGAAGGGAGCTTCTCTCCTATTTTGCCAGACATCCCTAAACATGTAACATTTACTTCCCTGCTGCCCCTGAGTCAAGTGCGAGGCCTATCTTAGCCTGCTTCTCTTTCTTACCTTACTAGTCTTCCCACCCAGGTCAGAATCGCTTCCCTGGCTGCCGCTGTAAGACCCAGTGCAACACCAAGCAGTGTCCTTGCTATCTGGCAGTGCGAGAGTGTGACCCTGACCTGTGTCTCACCTGTGGGGCCTCAGAGCACTGGGACTGCAAGGTGGTTTCCTGTAAAAACTGCAGCATCCAGCGTGGCCTCAAGAAGGTGAGGGCCCTGGCTCAGATGATGAAGTAGAAACCAAGGGGTCGTCCCCAGCACCCTACCTTTCCACGGGTTTTTTAGAGGCTTTGTGCAACCAAACCAAAAACCTAATGCCGTGAAGTCAATTCTCAGTCATAGCGACCCTGTAGGATAGGAAAGAACTGTGCCATAGGGTTTCCAAGGCTGTAATCTCTACGGAAGTAGACTGCCTCATCTTTCTGCCATGGAGCAGCTGGTGGGTTGTAACAGCCAACCTTTCAGTTAGCAGCCAAGCACTTAACCGCTTTGCCACCAGGACTCCTTTTGTACTTGAGAGTGCTTGGTAGATCCTAAAAGACACATGTTCTGCGTTAATAAAAGTTATCTGTCCTGTGAGAAGTTAGCTCTTGATAGATACTACAAAGCCACTACCCCCCTGAACTGGCCAGACAGAAGCAGGGAAGTGGAACAATGTTGGTGTTGCCTGTTTATACTTCACAGATTGCAGTGAATTCCAGTAGACTCAACTCCAGGAGGCCCTTGGGTCTAGAGAAGGGGGGGTCATGTTTCCTTTCTCCGCCTCCCTTTTTTTTTCCTTTCATCAGAACAGAATGACTTCGACCTTTTTCTGTTTTCAGATCCTCTTAACAGTTACTAGTTCTTTCCACCCTGCTCCTACCCCCACCCCACACACGTGTATATGCAGCACATACCCCCCTCCCTCACAGGCTTTGTAGTCTGAGGTCTGGCTCCCTCTTCCCCAGCACCTGCTACTGGCCCCCTCAGATGTGGCCGGATGGGGCACCTTCATTAAAGAGTCCGTGCAGAAGAACGAATTCATTTCTGAATATTGTGGTGAGGTGAGTGCTATGGGTTTGGCCCACATTCGTACTGTGGGAGATGCTGATGAGAAACCTTGATTTCTGTGGGCCAGGCTGCTGTAAATTCATCTCTAAATAACTCAGCCGAGTTCTCATGTGGCCTCTCTGGGGGATCCCACAGAACTCTTTGCAAGCCTGAAACAAACCACTGTTCATCAACTCTGACAACTCAGCCCATACAAGGAGGGTGCGGAGCTCTCTTTAGTCTCAGTACTGGTCAGTCTGGGTGGGAAGTGGAACAAAATAACCTGAGCTCAAACTCTTAGGAATCTCATCATGTTACCCACTGTGCCCCTATATGTGCCACTGCCCCTCAGTCCTTTCTGGAGGTGGGTGCCATGTCCCATGCAGACAGCCTGATACCTCTGTTTATCCTTGTCTGTCTGTCCAGCTCATCTCTCAGGATGAGGCTGATCGGCGAGGGAAGGTCTATGACAAATACATGTCCAGCTTCCTCTTCAACCTCAACAATGGTATGGAGTCCTGTTCTCTCGTCACAAGGTGGTCATGGGCATGTCTTTCTACCAAATTGCTCCTGCTGCAGTCCTGGTTCAGATCAGCCTGGAATCTTCATAGCAACCCTCATTGGGTTTCCAAGGAAATAAATCTTTAAGGAAGGAGATTGCCCTGTCTTCCTTCTGCTGAGCAGCTAGTAGGTTTGAACTGCCAACCTTCGGATTAGTAGCTAAATGCCTTAGGCACTGTGCCACCAGAATGCCTTCCAACAGAAAGCAAGGTGGTGAAGTAGGGCTCAGAGATACCACATGGCCCCCCGGTTCACTTCCTTTGGGAGACCTTCCATGTTGGGGTGTGTATGCAGTAGGAGCACTGAACACAGGCACCTCAGGAATCTCCATGCCGGGTGGGAAGGAAGAGGAGACCCATAGTTGAGCAGAGCAGGCCTCAAAGTGGGATGTTCCCACCCACGACTGGATTCTCATGCTGCAGACTTTGGCTGGCTCCTGTTAGCACATTAGTCTTCAGAATCACCCTCAGGCTAAATTGCTTCTGTTACTGGGAATTGAGTTTAAATTCAGGCTAAAGAAGCAGTGGGGGTTGCCTGATAAGCTCTTGGTCTTTGATTTACCCTATACAGATTTTGTAGTGGATGCTACCCGGAAAGGCAACAAAATTCGATTTGCAAACCATTCTGTGAACCCCAACTGTTACGCCAAAGGTGAGTTCCCAGTGATCTTGGGGGGTGGGGGTGGACTTCTCTTCATTGTTCAGCTTTTTTCAGAGCTGAGATATTTTTTGTTTAAAGATAATCATGATTAATATCTGAAAGCTTTTTAGTCCTCTCTCTCTCTCTCGGTTTTATAATGTGCTTTTTTAACCGAGTATGTGATAAACACTTTTTCCACAAACATGAGTCTTTTTAAAGATAGTCCTTTCACCGTATCACTAGCTGAAGAACACATCTAAAGGCAGAGGGGCAGCTGCCTTCTAATTATTTTCTAATTCTACTTCATTTGTGTTTGTTTCTGCTGGGAATTTGGAGAAAATCAGCCCAGACTCCTACTGAGGAGCCAGAGGGACTGGCTTGGAGTTGACTAGGGATGTAGCCTTGAGTTTCTTCTCTTTACAGTGGTCATGGTGAATGGAGATCATCGGATTGGGATCTTTGCCAAGAGGGCAATTCAGGCTGGTGAAGAGCTCTTCTTTGACTACAGGTGAGGCAGCCAGTAGCTTTCTAGGGAGATGGCTCTAGGGCCAAAAGGGGTGGCTGTCAGAACTGATGTGGGGGCTTTAAAGTGGGAGGTAAGAATGAAGGCGAAGGTCCCACAGTGGTCAAGACAGTTTCTTTGTGCAGGTCTCCACAGTCTCACCTCAGAAGTGGTTGCATTGTAAACAGCTGTTAGGGAGCGGGAGGGGAAGTGAAATGGGAGGAGACTCCATCTTTTCAATAACAAAGCCTTGGTAGTAACCTTGTTCCTCCTCCCTGCTCTGGGACAGGTACAGCCAAGCTGATGCCCTCAAGTACGTGGGGATTGAGAGGGAAACCGATGTCCTTTAACCCTCCTGGGCCCCATGCCAGCGCTTGTGGTGGCGGCACTGTCTCTGCTTTCATGCACACACCACTGCTGCTCAAGATTCCTGCACTATGTGTCTCCCACACCAGGAAGCCCCCCCCCCATCCCTCTGTAGCAAGGCCTCCGCTCTGTCTCCGTGAAAGGAGAGACAGGTGGCTAAGGCTCAGGCTCCTAGGAGAGAGAGTTGTAGATGTGAGAGACTGTGCGTCAGGCCTCAGAGGAAGAGTGCACAGGCTGGGGGTAGACGATGTGTGTTTGATTTCAGTGGGCCTCAGGAAGAAACTCACACAGTTCCTAACAATCATTAGCCTGTCCTTTTAACTTTCCAAATCAAGGGTCCTTATGTAACTGGGTTGCCAGGCACATCTCTCTGTGGTCGCAAGACCTGGAGAGGACAGGCTAAGTGAAGTTGGGCGTCTGGAGCCTCTAAGGGGTCTGGGTCAGAGATGAGCTTAGCAGGCACCACAGACTGAGCTTAGAGGGGGAAGATGGGCCATCTTGCTACCTCTTCCCTCCTGTCAGGGTTTAAGGAAAGAGTCTGGGCTCTGAGTACACTGATCTTCAAGGCTGGGAGAAGGAAAGCTAAGTGCCATCCATCCATGGACAGAGAGGGGGAACCAGCCTGGCAGTAGTAAAACTGCTAAGCTTTAGGCCCAGGAGGCCATGAGAAAGCCTTCTGTATACTTTAGGGATAGATGGATAAGTGCTTTCAGATTCCCGGGACCAGGTGCCAGTTTCACCTCCTTCCAGGGGTCTGGCTTAGCCACTCCAGGCAGGCATTATGCTGCTACTGAAGTTCCTTTTCTTCTTTTTTGGGGGGTGGGGGGTGGGGCAGGGTGTGCCTGGCTGGGTGTGAGCACTCTGGTTCCCTGGATGTGCAGTCTTTTTCAGGCCTTCCATTCCCCGTTCAGCCAAAGGGGCCAGTGTTACTTATCTCTTCAGGGTACAGGCCTAGACTAGAGAGGGGAAAGGTTGTTGGTGTGACTTACTTTCCTATCTGTGGCATCTGCTGTTTAGCCAGGGTGAGTTGGCAATATGTGTTTGGAGGTGGGTGAGGGGCTACCAAATTGCATGTGCACAGGATGGCATCACACACGGGGTACAGCGTGAGAAGCAGCAGGCAGACACCTGTCCCAGTCTGTGGTGCCGTTCTCTCTGGGATTCATGCAGAGCAAAGCACTTTACTATTTTCTTTGGAAAGTGGAGATTGGGGTGGAGCTGGAGCTGAGGTCTCTGGGGCCCCAGCTCTAATTGTGCTCCTGAGCGATGGGGAGGAGTAAGGGTGGAAGATTCATCTCCAGTTCTGTCTCATCTGGGAGAGGCAGGAGAAGCTGGCTTGACATAAAAGAATTGACAGAGGATGGGGGCAGCTCTTATGTCAGTGGCTGGTGTGCTGAGCTCTTGGGAAATAAGGAGCATTGAGCTGGATTGGGGAGGACTTGGGCAGGTACAGAGACTAACTAGGGAGTACTGGAATAGAGAGTGGGCTTCTCCCCCCTCTCTGGGGAACCTGAGCCTCTTTTCCCCCAGTCTGTGCTGACCACTCCCTTCCTCCAATCCCACTGGTTATCCTGTGAAGCAAGGAGTGGGGTGCCCTCTGTCCAGGCTGACGCCTAGATTGTAGTGGAACTCACACACACTCCCACTCGCACACCACACTTGTGGACCACGTATTTCCTGCACTGAGCACACTCCCAGCCAGCTCCTGACAGAGGACATCTTCCCACCTGATTGGGCCGGCCCCAACCATGATTCTGAAACCTCCTTCTGCTGTGGTTCGTATTCATTGTATGTGCTGGGGTGTCCCTCAAGCTGGACTGTGGGCTCTGAACCACTCATAAATGACAGCGGGAATGCAGACACAGATGCAGGAGGAGGAGTTAGGTCTGTCTGAAATGCCAGGTGCTGGCCAGCAGGAATGAGGGAAAAGAGGAAGAAATTGTACCCAGCCTTTGAGAGGCTAGCGTGGCCCACCCTCCTCTCAGCACAGAATCACTGTCATCAGCCTGTCCTTCCCCAGTTTCAGACCACTAATACTCCTGTTTCTCCAGCCCTTCCATCCTTTTTCCCTGCTGTTCCTCACCTTAAACGATGGGTCTCAACCCACCCCTGCAAGATGCAGGGGTGGGATGGAGCAAGGTGGCAGGGACAGGTGGGTGGGCGGGGGAGGCTGGTATATGTGTGGCTTCATTGCCAGTGAATTTCACGCACTTTAAAGTCCTGTGGCTTGTGACCTCTTATCTGAATAAAGTGGTAGAATCCATTTCAGCAGGTTGTGTGCTGTCTGCTTTGGGGCTGGGAAGACCCGGGAGTGGCAGTACAGAACAGCTCCAACTGACGCTTCAGTATTCTCATGCCCCTTTTGCCCACTGAGATCTGGGGCTGGGGGAGGTAGCGCCAAGACACAGTGGCACAGAGGGAGAGCTGGGAGGCTGGCGAGTCAGCTCAGGCCCCTGGCAGGCGATTCAGGCATTCTGAGGGTTCCCCTGGAAACTGCCAAGCCCTCTGATTAGTTCCCTTAGAATCATCCCACGTGTCCCTTAACCACGACGCCAGCCACCACACGGAGACCGGGGCTCTGCCACTCTGCCTTTATTGGAACAGCTCCAAGTCTGAGAGCACAGCAGGCTTAGCCCTGCTTCAGATGGAGGTCCGGACCGGGCTGGGCGAGGGACCAGCGGAACTCACGAGACTTCCAACACAGGATTGCAGACTACAGACTGGGCACGGCACAGCACAGCACAGAACAGTCGATTGTTTTTTTTTTTTGTTCTTTTATATAGAAACTGATAATTAAAAAATTAGAGTACTATATAGAGTTTCTCTAGAGAGAGACTTTGCAACAAAAAATATATATAAAGAATATGACCTCCTGGGCAAATTAAGCAGCATCTCTGAGCGGAGGAAAGAGGGCTCCTCATGCATTGGAGAGGGGGCCAAGCCTTTGGACGGGCACCAAGGCTGTTGCATATCTTGAAGGAGGGTGGAAGAGTTGAGGGTTGGGAGCCGGTGTCTGCGTTATTTTCTCTACCTTGCAAGTGTTTGTTTATGGCTTTGGCTAAAGCATGTGAAGCAGCAGAGGTACTAAGGTGCTGAACTGAGGCCTCTTGGTCTCCATGTAAAACACAAAAGGGGGTGGGGGCAGGGACAGCAGTGAAGCGCTCCCTAACCCCAGCGCAGTGGAAGCAGATGGAAGACATTCTGCAGAGCAGGGGGGAGGCTGGGGGATGTGATTTAGCAGCCTCCTCCCCCCATACCCTGTGCATCCCTGCAATCCCACACATCTGTCCCTGCTGAGATTGTATATTTGAAGGGAGGCAGTTAATCTCCCCTACACTCTGTTATTAATCCCTGGCAGCAGCTGGGACAGAGATGGCAGGAAGGGCCTGTCTCAGCCCCATGAGGCTTCTCCTTTGGGGCAGGCAAACAGCCAGGAGCCTGGGGAAACAGGGATGGGCAGGGCATTGGTTCAGGCAGTGAGGCTCAGCCACTCCCTTTGGTCCCATTTGTAGCTCTGCCGACCAAAGGCGGCAGGAAGGGTCTCCTCGGGATGGGCAGAGCCAGCTAAAAGGAGCCAAGTGCCCCTGACAGGGTGGAATGGAGGCAGGAATGGGGGAATTCAAGGGAGATGGACTTGGTCCCTGAAGCCCTTTTGCTGATTCATTCAGACCTGGACTCCTCCAGGATCTGGGGTAAGTTCTGGTCCCTGGGGGCTGGGGCTGGGGCTGGGGCTGGGGTGGGAGCTGGTGTCAGGGGCGGGGCCTGGACAGGGCCTGTAGTGGGTAGGGAAGGTTTGCTGCCAGGTTGGTAATCATGGGCGGCCTTGGGCTCATTGGTGTGGTAGGAGCCCTTGTAGCGATGATGTTGCAGATAGAAGAGCACCAACATTCCCACCAGCCCCAGGAGCAGAAAGGCCACCAAAACTGGGAGGAGGAAAAAGAACAATTCAGGGCAGAGCTTTGGTGTTTTGCCTACATATAGACATACGCACACAGACTCTTGTCCAGCTCAGCTGTACACCACGTCAAGCTGTTCCTAAGTCTTGCAGGTCTGCTTTCCTGATTTAGCTCCTGCCATCTTCTCTTTCCTTATATTCTACTTCCATATCCCTGGCATTTACCCCAATTCCTCATCTCTCCAGATGTCACCGCAGCCCAGTTTCCTTATCCCTTAGCTGCAGCCCCATTTTGATTCTGCTTTTCAGTTCCGTGTTTACAGCATCCTCAAACATTTACAATCTCCAGGCCCTTTACTAAATTATCATCTCATCTATTTCACCATCATGTACCCAGTGCCTTCGCCACCCCTCAGCCCTGGGGGTAAGGTCCAGGGAGGGAATGCTGAGGGTCAGAGAGTAGAATTGGCAGGTCAGGGTGATGAGGTCTACTCACAGCCTAAAAGTATGGCAACCCATCCATCATCATGGTAGTACGGGAAGTCTGAAGAGGAGAAAACACCAGTCAGGAGAAACCTTCCCTGTGTTAAGCATCATTTCCCTTCCTTGTCATCCATCCCTTCTCTCGTCTGTGACCCAGGGACGTACCTGGGGGCAGGTACCAGGGGTCAAGCTCAGGCGGCACCTCTGTGATGAGCTGTGGCATGGCTCCGCAGTTGGATTCTGACAGTTCTCCCTGAACTCGAAGGGCCTCAGCAAGCTCAGCAGTCATGGGCCGAGGGGTTCGGAAGTGGGTCTTGAGGGGAGCCACGTTGTTGAATCGCACACCTGACAGGCAGCCTGAGAAACCTGGTGTGTTGTAGCGCTGGATCTCCGGGTCAATGATTCCTGTCTCTGAGGGAGAGGCAGGCCCAGAAAACAGGGCTGGACCACCTAGTAGTCTCAACCCCCTCTCAAGATCCATAGGTTTCCCATTAATTTTTGACACCACCTGCACTGCCATTCCCAGTCCATTGTTCTTTTAGTCTCCTCCAGGCTCCGATGACTTTACCCGTAATTTCTTATAACTCACCCTTACCCACAGCTTACCCATAACACGCCCTAGATACAAGGCTTTGGGTGAGTCCAACTGACTGTCCACCAAAAGTGAGAACTTCTGTTCTGTCAATGGGAAGTAGTCCACCTGAAGTGGGAAGGGGAATGAGGGACAGAGGATCAGAGGCTGACATTTATCAAGACCACATAGGCACCCTCATTCTGTCCAAACTGGCGGTGCCAGGTAGGGTGCATCCTAGCTTAGTCCTTAATCAGCCACCCCTGGGTCTAGATAGAGGATTTGGAGGGTTTGAACCTTGTCTTTGTAGCCTACCTAGTAGTTTGGTTTTGGGAAAATCACTTTATCTGTGGAGCCTGATTATTGACTGTAGAGTAGAGATAATTAACATCTGATCATCTGAACAACCTGAAGCTTTCGTGAAGGTCACAGGAGGTAATATATGTGAAAACCCTCTGTAAACTGAGATTACTATACAGATACTTGGTATGTTCTTGGTGCCACAACCTACATGATGAGGTTCTGACCTGAACTAGTCCACCTCCTTCTACACATACCTGGATGAAGAGGGTGCGGTAGACCCTAGTGATGTTGACGCTGTGGGGCTGGCCATCAGTAACTGGTCGGGTGGTTAGCTGGTATACGTAAGGACTGGTGCCCAGCTGATACCGCAGCTGCAGGGTCCCTGTGGAGTGGGAGGAGAAAGAGGGACTCTCCTCCCAGTTCCCGCAATCCCCATCTCCTAAGAGTGCATGGGTCCTTGCAATAGTAAATTAGTATTTACGAGAATTAAGGGAGCTCTGGTAGCGTAGTGGCTAAGGCTCTTGACTGCTAACCAGAAGGCTGG